ATAAATTGTGTCCACATGCTGCCAATTTGAACTAATTAGAGTTTTTATCCTTTAAATGCTTTTGGGAACTTATTTTAATTAATACTTTACACGAGTAGAGCTTTGGGTTTGTTAGAAAAAAATCTTAATTTTCGCATTAATTTATTTTTTATAAATAAGGAGAACTCGAAGCTGTGTCATAATCTCACAGAATATACCAGTTTAATCGATTATAGTATTTATTTAATTACACACGTAATTATAAAATAAGTGACAAGTAATTTTTTATGGATAAAATCTCTTGTTCTTTTGGAATAATCACCTCAACCTTGAAAAACACATAACTTTTAAATTTCTCTTGAATAATTGAGATCTCAAGTAGTATATATTTACACGACTTCTGTCCAAGAAAAATATATCAAGTAGCTGTATTGGTTATAACTTGCTAATTAACTAAGGCGTATTTAAAATTGTTGACAAGGCAAATGAGTGAATGATGAAGGATAAGATCGCTGCTCGCGCTGATAATCTGTCATTCGTTCGTAGCATATCATTCGATCAATCGTCAACGTTCATGTTTGGTCACGAGTTGATTAATTTCAAACCTCCTTTTAGTTAAATCACCTTCGTAATGGCTAAACCAGACACGAAGTCGGTCTCAATGAATAAATTAAACACTAATTTCTTGACATAGTTTATTTGAAGCGGTTCACCTTGCTCGTAATTGCTGCAATATAATTTTTATAAATTTCTATATTCTAGAACGACTCGGTTACAGTTAGTGCCTACCGCTGTTATAATAAAAGAAAATGAAGGTAAAGGAATAGTTTAACTTGAAGAAATGAAAATCATTTCCAGGTTCATCATAACTTTTTTATTAATTAACACATTATTTACGAGTATACATGATAAATTATTTAAATTGTAACATAAATAATATTTGGTTAAATCTTAGTTTGGGTTTAGTTAAGGTTCGATTTGGGTTAGTAATAAACACTAACTAAAAAAGCTAGGTTTTACATGTCATTTAAAACATTTTTGTAGGGGAAGCGAGACTGGGCGGTTTTTTCACATTTCACATTTTGGTGGAATTGTGATTTTATAGTATAACAAAGATTTTTAAATCTTCCAACTTAATCGCGAGTCGAGCATGTTACGGTTGCTAAACAGTGTAGTTTTTATTACAACGTTACTTGAAACGTGTAATTAGTGTGAAAATGATTAAGGTGAGAGCAGTCTATCGTTGTAAGC